AATTAATTGTTTTCTCTAATTTTTCGAAATATCATGTTAAAACAGTAAACAAACTCATAAATATTCTGTTTTTATCTGCAATATCATCGAAACGTTGAAAAAAAGAGAATTCTTTTTTCAAATGAAAATAACTTCTAGATTTCAACCGAAGAGAGTGTTCCCATCTACCGCCATCTATTGAACTTCATGTGAACTACTAAAAATTTTCATTTCTTTAATTCTTCACTAGTGAAGAAAAAATAAGAATAGTACTGCTATAGAAATAATATAGAATGGAAAGGAGGGAAGAATACTCTCAGTATTTGCAGCCCAGTTAAAAAGAAAATACAGAGTAAAGAATAAAATATTGTTCTCAACTCAAATTATTGACAGTTTGAATTGTGTACTTTTGAAAAACAAAACTATTTCACTAAATTTTTTATCATTAATTAAAAAATTTTTTTAATTAAAATATAACCGTTGCTTCATATTTTAATTAAAATAAATTTAAAAAAAAATTGATTTAATATACAGTGAGCAAAAAATAAACGAAACACTCGAAATAACTTTTGTATTTATGCGTACTAAGGACTCAATGGTTGGAGACGGAGAATGTTAACAAATTAGTGCAGAAGGTATTTTAAAATATGAAATCAGACATAAAAACGTACTCTTTGCTTACCAGGTTATGATTCCTGACTCCCAAAATATAGGGTTAAAGAAGTCAAATATTTAAAATTCGATTTCTCAGGCATTATTCAACCGATTTCGTTTACATTTTGCATTTTGCCATATAAAATAATATTCTTTAAAATGATTTAGAAATTTGTTTACCTCTCTACTCAAAATTTTTTTGCGATTATTAAACAGAATATTAAAAAAATTAATAAATATTAAAAATTATAAATACTAAAAATTATTTGTGTTACAAAAATAGGGAAATTTTATAGCACACAGTTATAATTATACATTCATTTATCTTTCTATAAACGAATTTTATAATTGTGTGTAAAGATTTTTCTATTCGTTCTCTAGATATGGAAGATATTCTCTAGCAAAAGTATAATTTACATTTAAGGGTCCAAACTTTGGACCGCTCTCTTGATCTAACTATTAAGGACTATAATTCCCAGATTAAGGCTAGAATTTGGAGAAATCATTATCTATCGGGAAAATTTTTTTTATTTAGTCATCAATATGGTTGCAAAGCCATGTCATACAATCTACTCAGGATTATCTTCAAATATCTAAATATTTAATACAAAAATATCGCATCATATTTTTTTTCCATATCATAAAAAAAAATAATTCAAGAAACAAATTTTTTTTCCTCGTTAGGTAAAGTAACAAAAAATAGTATTGCCAATAAAAATGTATAAATAATATGTTTTCCATTCCTCCTCTTTAAATTACAGGAATGTAGAAAATAATGATGTTTATTCAGAGGGGGCAGAACTAGGAATGATTTATTAACGTGATTCTTTAGTTCTCATATACAGGTGAAATAGTTAATTTTCAGACTATATATTTTTTGATCCAAATCAAATTAAAAGTGAGAATGTTTTTATTACATGTTACTACCTTCTACATTCTGTTTTAAATTCTGTAACTAAGTTTTTATTAAATTATCCATTACCCTCAAGGAAAAATCAAATTTTAGGTTTAATGAGTTAAATTTTAGGTTAAATTTAAGGCTTAATGAGATTAAATAAACTGTTTAGGCAAAATACCATTTTTCAGCATTTTGTCACTTCTGCCCTGTCTCTACTCACCCCTACAAACAATAAAATGGTGGGGATCGAAATGACTATTAGAAAAATATTAACATTAATTTATAATTTCTACTGAATTTTTTATACAAAATATTTTTAAAATAAAAAGAACAATCAAAAATCAAAGAAAGAGTAAGAACTATAGAGTAATTTATTTATGATCTTAAAGAGGACACAAAATTTGTTGTATTAGAAATAAATGTGTTATATATGCATGTGGTGCTTAGGTATCTCAACTGTTTTACATGAGTTGCAATAGTTTGTAATACAGATGACCTATCAAGTTCTGCACTGAGAAACATTATTTTTCATTGATCTTAGATATTTTCGCATTGCTGATTTCAAATCCAAAATCGGTTTCTCTCTTCAAGCTAGAGTTTTTTTAATGACATTTTTAATCTAGTTTTCGTCGAAACGTACAAGTTTAAAGACGCTATATATAACTGGGACTCGCGTAAATGCTGGAGCAAACTTCTCGGAGAGTTGGAGCACATCATCAGGACTAAAATTGCAAGGAAACTATACCTGTAAAAGTCATCATACGCAGCATCATTCCCCTTCTATGAACTTTTCATTACGTGCTTTTGAACAGGTCAAAATAAGGAAACGACACTGACCGCGTATGACTACATTTCTTGGCATGGGTTTCAATGACATTTTAATCCTGATGATGTCGCTAACTCCTTAAAAGTTTGTCGCAACATTTACGAGACTTCTTGTATTATATTATGTTTCTAAATATGCACATTTTGACCAAAAACAGACTAAAAATGCAATTTACAAAAAGAAATCTGTAGCTCTAAGAGCAAAACTAATTTCAGATTTAAAATCCCCACAGCCAATTTAGGCAAGATCAAGCATTTATATAAATGCAACGAAAGATTTCTTTCCATTTGTTATTGATGCAAAGAAGGTTGAATATAAACTAAGATAAACTAATAAATGTTATAAGTAGGTCTGTTAAAAGATTTTATTGGTCTTTCAGAGCCAGGCAAATCAGAAATTTCTAAAAATGAGTTCTTACTCATAATTGTTCCACTACCATACAGAGTCTCAGCCAACCAAGTATTTCAAAATAGATTACTTTGAATCAATTAAAACAACTTGTTTTACTAAAATTAAAATTTCCTATGTGTTGTTAAAATTGCATCTTAAACTGCACTTAATATATTTAATAAGGATAGGAATTGTACATAAAATAATTTAATAAAATAACTTTCTAAGAAAAAATAAATAATTTAAAAGTGTAATTTTTTTCAGCTCGCGTTGTAAAATTTTATTATACTATTTTAAATAACACTGGGGAGCACATTTTATTTCTTCATTTTTTTTTTTTCATTTTCTGTTTTATGAGAGTTTTTAGACCTTAAATACTTTTGTTTCACTGATTTCAAATCCGCAATAGGTTTCTCTCGCCCTTGTTCCACTTTTTATTGAAAATGACATTTTTAGTCTTTTTTTTTTTTTGTCGAAATGTACAAATTTAAAAACGCTATATAAAACAGGGGGTTGCATAAATGTTGTGACAAACTTCTAAGTTCAAAAGAACACACATCAGGATTAAAATTGCAAAGCAACCCATACCCAGAAATGTCGTCATACGCTTTAGGGGCGCTTTTTCTATTATGAACTGTATCTTCACGTGCTTCTGAAGAGGTCCACAGGTCATGATAGGCAAGCGCCCCTAGCCGTGTACTACGACAAGGAAAGAGCGTTTGCCTTCCAATGAGCTGAACCGGGATACGAATTCCGCATCCAGCTTGCACGGACCACTATGATGACGTAAAATACTCTCAGTAGTAGACGGATCATGGGTCAGAGTCCCCTTGCAGTCAGGCTAACCGTGGGTGTTTCCCATGGTTTTCCTCACCATATAACGCAAATACGGATTAATTCCATAAAAAAAGTCCTCCAAAAAGCACATTTCTCCCAATACTTGATCCAGGAGTTCCCTTGTCTTCCAGATTGGGTTCAAAATTATAAAGTTGAACATTAGTAGTCGTAAACCCAAGAATTGGCTCGGCTGTTCAGTGACGGATACATAAAATAAAATAAAATCAGATTCAAATTAAAATGTTTGGTTTTTACTTTTATTGTCTAAACTTACTGAAATAAAAATTTAAAAAAAAAAATTTACGCATTATTCTTACTGCTTTGAGTAGATTGTGTATATTTATTTTATACTTTTGTTACCTCATCACCTACTAACACAATCCAAATATTTAAAAGATATAAATTAAAGATATAAATTTTAAAGATATTTAAAAGATATAAATTCTTAGAGTTGCTCTTAATTACCCCTTATTGAGGGGTAACTTAATCCACCATGCTTTATTTTTTCTTCTTTAACGAACATATTTTAGAAAACTGTCATACAAATAATGTAAACATAAGATTACAACTGCCGAATGCAATCTCATTAGTCCGTTTTCCTCATTTAGATTTTCTGTTTTATTTCGTTGAAAATAACCCGGCTTTAAATTGATATTTTTCGTATAATAATAATTTTATTAATATTTCCAAAGTTTCAACAATCTTTCAAGATAATATATAAGAAAGGGTTTCGAATGCACCAAAAAATATAAATAAATAAATTAAGTCAACGTTGAATAAAATATTCCGTTTGGTTGGTACCTTCATATCCTTTTTTCGAATGTATTTTATTATACTTCTGCAACTAACAAAAGAATCAACATGTTCCAACTTACAAAATCACGAATTATAATGGGGTTGCTTTTCGTTTTTTTTAAAGCCATCAGTCAGTTTTTCGAATGGTAAATTTTTTACGCTTCCCAGTCTAAATTATTGTTATTGTATTCTATATCCAATTTAAAGATGCTAAGCCTGTTTCCATTGGGGAAAAAATATATTAATTTAGATGAGAAAAATCTATTACTTTATGTAACTTAATTTGTAGTTCATGGATGACATCATCAAGTCCGTGAAAATTAAATCCAGCAAAATTTGATCAAATAATCAGAAAAAAACATTATCGAAGTGTTTCATTCCATAACTACATATCATGCGTTGAAAATTCCATGTACGAATATTTAGTATGACTATAGTAACAACATAATAAATTTTAGTATTTTAAGCATGAATAAATTATTCGAGGTAATCTAATTTTAAATTTTAATTTAAAAGATGAAGTTGTTAAATTCATATGTGTATTAAGGAATTTAGAGGGAAAAAAATTTCACATTTACAAAATTTTTTAAATATGACACTTCTATACAAATGACAAAATGCTTTAAAATCGCATAAAAATTTTATTTACTTCTCATACAGCGTTAACATAACCAGCAGAATATGTGATATATCATTATATCATTAAAATTGTATCATTAAAAAGATATATCATTAAAATTGTAAGCAAGTAATGATATTGAAACGAAATTCCACGATATAATTAATATTCATTTCTGCCAGAATGAATATTAAGCTTATTTGTCATGCTGTTCGTCGAATTCAGCAATGAAAATACAATTGCCCTTTGTAATCAAAACCAATGGTTATGATACTTACATGCCAAAAGTTTTAAAGAACCAATTTAAAAATACACCTGCTACTTTTATAACACACAATTAAGGCATTTGTTTTTTAAACCAGATAAATCCACATTTTTCCAAAATAGTCTATTTTTGTCTAAATAGTCACTTTGAGGGATTACAATCGAAAACTATTCCTTCCACAATCTTTCATAAATGTTTCAAAATTTTTAATTTTGTTTTCTGGCTAGTACAAAAAAAATTCGTTTTAGTTTTAAAACTCTTTCCTCTCTGACGGGCGGTACAAATACGGATCTGCGCTACCTCTAATGAGGGGCGAGTTGATTTTTCCGTGTGCCCAAAGAGCATACTTAAGATGCGAGCTTTGAATCATAGAAGTTGAAAATTCGGTCATTTGGATCAAATGCCAGATGCCATTCAACCCCTTTCCACAGTATTTTTTAAAGTTGTTGATTTGAAATCAAATGCCTGGGTTGAGTTCCTTCCGTAGTATTTCTAAAATTGGACTGAGTTGGTTTTCAAATTAAATGACTTAATTATATATGCTATACATGAATAAAAATATAAAATAATATTGTTCTTTTAAAAATATTCATCAGCACATAAGAAGTTTTTAGTTTATTAGAGGAAGGCAAATAGTACTGGCAAATTGTATCATTCATTAATTTTGCTTAACACGGTAAGATTTCCTCCAAGCTTCCAATAAAGCCACAGCTGAATGAAATCGATAGAAAATGACAAAAGGCATAATGATTCTTGTTATTACAGGCCAAGCAATATCTCCATAAAATTTCAGTTGCAGTTGACTTCTCAGCTGCCTTTGAGTTGTAAATGACTCGAGGATCCAAAGAGAAATGTTGACAAACACAAGGAAGATAACAACTTGACGACCAGGCTTTTCATCGATGTTCAAGGGACTAAGTCTCTTTTTTGAAACTTGATGGATAAATAATGATTGCAAGCATGCTTGAACAACCATCAAGAAGCCATCGATAAATAAGACAAAACTTTCCAATGTATCAATATAAACTCCGCCTACAATGATGTTGCAAATACCATATACATAAACTGCCAGCAACCCTATTCTTTGAAGAAAATCTGATAACTTTCCTTGTCTTGATGTTTTACTCTTCATTTTCTTAATCTGTACTATTCCAATTATTATTATCAAAGTAGAGAGAGCAAATATAACGCATTCTATTATGGCAATCATGAAGTGAACATTGAAACTTCTATCTTTTGCAAGAACAAAAAATAATACAACAGCAATAATTCCCACGACAAGAATTAAAAATCCTAAAAACATGCCACGAGTAGAGCCACCGCAATTAATATCCTCTGATGTTTGTTCTCTGCCGTAAACAGAAACAGCAGCAAATCGTTGCAGTTTGACTCGTTGCACTTGCAGGTTAGACCATGTTGTGTAAATAATAGCAGTGGCAACTAAACTGTATTGTACAATAAAGGGATACAAATAAGGCATGGCTTTCTCCCATATTTCACCAATTGTAGAGTTTTGTACACAGACATGATAAGTCATCAAACCCTCTGTTTCGTTGTGTACTTTGAAACTTTCCCAAAAACATTTGGATGTAGCTGTGAAAAGAAAGTTCAATTGATGAAGAAATTTAAAAATAACTAAAATAAAAAAAGGAGAAACATTGTTTTGTAAGCACAAATTAAAAAATTTTTTAGGAAATAGCGAAAAAAATACTTAACAAAATTGGTTGATAGAACAAAATTAAAAAAAAAAACGTTTTTTGAATAAAATATTTGAAAACACTGGAATAAAGAAATTTTTTTTGATGCATGAAATTGATTTTTACTATTGTATTTAAACGAAATAAAATTCAATTAATGAAGAATTTTAAAAATAAATAAAATAAAAAGGAGGAGGAATCGTTTTTATTTTTTAAGCATTTTTTTTTTTGAAAATTGCAAAGCAAAAATAAAAAGGAAAAAACTTTTCTTTTCTTAAAAAAAATTGCTGTTAAACATTTTTTTTTGCTTGGTGCATGAAATTTCAAAATCTAGTGCGACTATTACATTTAGTGAAACAATTTCAAAAGAATTTTTCTCTATCAGTTTTATTTTTAGAGAAGCAGCGAAGTTAGGTTATCAAATATGTTATTTTTGCAATCACGAAAATTTTTTTATTAGTTGTTAAGAATTTTTAAACTGAAATTGATTGCATTATGTGCACTCTTTATAAATGTGAAAATAATTTTTTGTTTTAAAATTTTAGCTCTACTCTCTACAAGCTTGCTTTTCGAGATTCAGTCCAAATTTTTTTATGTGTTAATTTTAAGAATTGCTTAAAATTACACTGGTCGAAAAACAATGCTTCCGTGGTTAAAATCAACCCACCAAATATATCAAAAATTATTTTAAAAAATATAGCCAACCAACACATGTTTTTCTCTTTTGTTGGGCTTTGTACCAAATTTGGTAAAAATAGGAACAATAAGAGGGAACCACTAGCTGATTTGAGTTAAATAAGCCTTTTTCAGAAACTAACGACATTTTAAGTATTGTATGTTAATAATTAATTTAATTTGAGTTACCGTCATGTGGGGCTACTTTGTGCAGCGGAGGCTACTTTGTGCAAATTCGAATTTGGCACTTTTCAAGTGCTGCTATTCAGTATTATGTTTTGTTCACTTTAAAAATGTGTGGAATTTGAAGATAGAAGTCTCCTCTATTACTACAAAAAATTTTTCGAATTTTAAAACAATCTCAGAGTGTGTTTTGTTTATCCAATGTCAACAACTTTCCGAGAACGTCGGACGTCGAAAAGTGTGCGTTGAAACTTTAGCTGTGAAATGCAAAGACGTTGATAAAACAATTGTCGTTAGTGCAAAATGTTTTATTTATACATTAAAAAACAATTATATCATGTTAGCGTTAAAAATTTTTAAAATTAANTTGTACACAGACATGATAAGTCATCAAACCCTCTGTTTCGTTGTGTACTTTGAAACTTTCCCAAAAACATTTGGATGTAGCTGCGAAAAGAAAATTCAATTGATGAAGAAATTTAAAAATGACTAAAATAAAAAGGGGAGAAACATTGTTTTGTAAACACAAATTTAAATTTTTTTTAGGAAATAGCGAAAAAAATTACTTAACAAAATTGTTCGATGGAAGAAAATTAAAAAAAAAAACTTTTTGGAATAAAATATTTGAAAACACTGGAATAAAGAATTTTTTTATGCATAAAATTGATTTTTACTATTGTATTTAAACGAAATAAAATTCAATTAATGAAGAATTTCAAAAATGAATAAAATGAAAAGGAGGAGGATTTTTTTTAAAGCATTTCTTTTTTTTTTTTTTTTTTTTTTTTTGAAAATTGCGAAGCAAAAAATAAAAAGGAAAAACTTTTAGTTTTTTTTAAAAAAATTGCTGTTAAAGATTTTTTTCGCTCGGTGCATGAAATTTCAAAATTGAGTGCGACTATTACATTTTGTGAAAAAGTTTCAAAACAATTTTTCTCCATCAGTTTTACTTTCGGACAAGCAGCGAAGTTAGGTTATCAAATATGTTATTTTTGCAATCACGAAAAAAATTTTCTTAGTTGTTAAAATTTTTTAAACTGAAGTTGATTGTATTATGTACACTCTTTTTAAATGTGACAAAAAAAATTTTTTTCTTAATTTTACCTCTACTCTCTACAAACTTGCAATTCGAGATTCAGCCCAAATGAGTTAATCTTAAGAATAGCTTAAAGTTACACTGCTCGAAAAACAATGCTTCCGTGGTTAAAATCAACCCACCAAATATATTAAAAATTATTTAAAAAAATGGGAACAATAAGAGGGAACCACTAGCTGATTTGAGTTAAATAAGCCTTTTTCAAAAACTAACGACATTTTAAGTATTGTATGTTTATAATTAGTTTAATTTGAGTTAGTGTTGAACACTTTCGGAAATTTTGTGATTTTGAAGTATAATAAAAAGTTAATAACATTACTTTAATTAATATGAATTTTATTAATAGCATTAAATTAAAAATAAGTATATAAATACATTCTAAAACCAGGTAGTTTTCCTAAAATAATATAAATAAACTCAGATAATTTTATTATTATTTTGATATTTCAAAACTAAAATATGGTTCAGAGGCCATATTTGAAGCATGCATGTCTCCACCCATTTAACTTTTAAAAAGTGATTTTTCCCTCCAGAATTTAGGTCTAATACTGATTTCGAGAAAAACATAACACTAATTAATTGTTTTTGCTACGCAAAATGGGACTTAAACACGAGAAAATGGTAAAAGATTAAAAATCAATAAACATCTATTTGTTTAATTCAGTTGCTATGTATTGTTTAAGTCAATTAAATTATCAAAAGTCCATATTTCTATCGTGCATGATTTGTGATTCCAGTTCAATTCATAAACTGTTTATTTTTAACTGACGCAGTTGGTAATATATTTCCAGTAGCAGAACTAGCGGGCCGGGAAAGCCTGGTCGGTAAGACGCTGGGCCCAAGTCCGAGAGTTCGTGGGTTCAAACCCCGACGGCCGAAAACTCCCTGTGTAGTAAATGGTGACGGATCACGTTAAATGCATCGAGTCGCAAAGTCCTCCATGTTCCCATAACAAATCATTATTTCTGGGCGTACTTAATTGGTGATTGATCTTTCTCTGATTCAGGTCAAAATTACGATCTGTGGATGAATGAATGGATGTATGATTGGGTCAGCCCTATAAACGGATGTGACGTACCGGTGTGGCAGAAGTCGAATTCTTGGCTATAGATGGCGCCACTGAAAACCAATCGCACCTCTCTGCCTTAACAGGCATACTAAAGAGAGAGCAGAACTAGTGAGAATAGGGGGGATGACAGATTTATTTATAACTGTACAACTCCTTAAGTTCATATGAAATCTATTAGGGAGCAACAAAAGATAACGGGAAAACCAGATTACTATTTTAACAGTGGTGTTAATTTCAAACACAAACAAGTTTAGTTTTTCATTAATGCTAATATAAAATCGATTTCCTATTAAATCAACTTTTAATGGTAATTTTATAAAAATTAATCAGAATTATACTAAATCAATTATGTATAATAAAGAAATGTACTTACTGTGTACTCGATGCTGAGGTTTATGATAAAACTCGTCCTGATGTTTTTCATCTGAGTCCAGAGAGTGCAGACTAAAATTGATTTTTGTATGGTCCCATTCAACACTAGAGTTATGTTTGTGATGAGTCGCATCTAACCAATCTTTTGCACTTTCCCACATCATTATTCTAATCCATATGGCTAGATTTGTCGCCACTAAGTGCATAAGTGCAATATGACGAAACCAACGAAAAGAACTTGCCATTTCCTATAATAAGATTTCGTATAAAAAATTACTCTATTTTTCATAAATTGCTGTTGAAGTAGAACTTTATTCTTTGTAAATAGAATAGATCTCTCAAGGTTTCCCACTCTCCCAAGGTACGTGATTTTCCCACTCTCCACTTTCTCCCTTTCCATGATTTCGGAAAATCTTGCTTTTCCACATATTAGTGCATTCCAATTTTTTACTGAAGCGCACCACCGTGAGAAAAAAAGCAAAATTTTTCGAAACTATGATAATGGAGAGGGGGAAAGTGTGGAGAAAGGAGAAATAATGTGACCTCGAGAAAACTATTTACAACCAGCATAAACGCTTCTACTTTCTCTTTTTTTATTCAGTTTGAAATAAATGCAAGAGCAATATAATGTAAGAACAACTGAACTGCAGAACACCTCAATTTAGCCTAATGAAAGATTAAGGAGAATGCTGCACCTTGATAATTTCTAAGAACCTAGTAGCAACATTATCGTTACTTTTATTTCTAACTATTGTCTTAACCAATGCATAATAAGCACAACAAAAGTCAGCACCCAAAGTGAAGCATTGAATTATTTCGCTGGAGAGAAGGAAAATTTTATTATTTAACTTTTTTTTTAATTTACATTTTTTTCTGGATATTAATTTCTAAAGCTATTTATCAGAATTTTATTTGAATACAGGAGAAAAGATTACAAAATGTTTCAGTTATGAAAAATAATGATAGTTCATTTTGATTGACGACAGCAATGGTTTTATTTTAATCATTTGCTGATTATTCCTTGGGACAATAAAGCATATTTTGATTTGTTTCGTATAAACGTATGCATAGTTTTCAATATATTGAGATATTTTTTTCTTCTAGTGGTGTTTTTTTAATTTGTTAAAACCTTTTAAATAAAAGAAACTTTATGTTCTATCTGTATATTTCAATTTAATTCATTATTACGATATTTTTATTATTTTTTTAAAATTTATTCTTTATGATTTTGGAAGCAGTGAACTTGCTTTATGATATGTCATTTTGAAGCATACATATCAATAAGTATTTTTTTCTTTCATCTAAATTAGAGGTTTTCAATTTTTTTTACCCAAGGGCACAGCTATGAACTTTGGAATTAAATAAACATAAGTGAAACTTGACTTAAATAATATGGGTAANGTATTTAAAAAAAATTAATATATTAATCTATAAAGCTATTTACCAGAATTTTATTTGAATACAGGAGAAAAGATTTCTAAATGTTTCAGTTATGAGAAATAATGATAGTTCATTTTGATTGACGACAGCTATGGTTTTATTTAAATCATTTGGTGATTATTCCTTGGGACAATAAAACATATTTTGATTTGTTTCGCGTAACGTAAGCATAGTTTTTAATATATTAAGACATTTTTTTTTCTTCTAGTGGTGTTTTTTTAATTTGTTGAAACCTTTTAAATAAAAGAAACTTTATGTTCTATCTGTATATTTCAATTTAATTCATTATTACGATATTTTTATTATTTTTTTAAAATTTATTCTTTATGATTTTGGAAGCAGTGAACTTGTTTCATGATATCTCATTTTGAAGCATGCATTTCAATAAGTATTTTTTTCTTTCATCTAAATGAGAGGTTTTCAATTTTTTTTACCCAAGGGCCACAGCTATGAACTTAGGAATTAAATAAACATAAGTGAAACTTGACTTAAGTAATATGGGTAAAGAAATTCCGCAGTAGTGGGAAGAGGATTACAGTTAATTTTAATCTAAGTTGCTGTTTTTCTAATTTTGTTAAAAATTTAAATTATATCTTACTCTCTAACGAATAAAATTAATCGCTTTTACAACTACATTCATAACATATTTAAAGTTTGAAACTAAATTTGTACCAAGTGAGTCAGCAGAAATTTTCTCATGGGAGAGGGTTACATCAGGTGAAAATAGTATTTTTTTTCTGAAGATAAATTTACAATTGGGGATCAGAAATTTGCATACACAATTTTAGTAATTGAATCAAAATCTACTAAACCAACAAATTATGGCAAAAAATTCACGTTTTTGATAATATTTAAATTTTTAAACAAAAAAAGCTCCATTTAAATATGTTATTAAAAACAATGCTATTAAATTTAGTTATGTTATTAAGAACAAAAGAGCAGTTAGGCTAGTGTTCCTTAATTTTTCAGTTTATTTTGAAATATCTTTGTTATATCTTCTAATTAAACAGAAAATATTGTTTAATTATTGTAATAAATTGAAAAATGCAGCTTTTGCGACTGTTCTAGAAGTCAGAATAGATTCAGTACGACACGTAAAAAGCATTAATTATAATGATTTATAATGAAAATAAATTATAGAGAATTACAGCAAATCTATAATTTTTTAATTATAGGATTTCCTAGGGGTGCAAAAGCCCCTTCTTAGCCCCTTTGCGGGTACCCATGCTTTATACTTATATTTTTTTTAATAAATGCGACAAAGTGAGTATTTCTGCAAACTTTTGCTCCAAATTTCTCGCCTCTTGAATCACAGGCAGCATAATGAGTGCACCGTACGTAAAAAAATAATCAGGTAATAACAATATTACGCCATGACTTACATCTAGGATTTATTTAATCATAAGAAAACTAGTTATAGCTAGAATTTTAATATTTTGGGTAAATACAGGGTTATTCATAATTCCCTCCGGGGTTTCGAAGCGTTATAGTAAAAAAACGAAGACGAATATGGCAAAAAAGAACATATTAAATTATTCCGAAAGTATTCAAGTTTTAATTTAAGCAGTTGCCGGCAGATGGCAGTAACATGTACCACTAAAGCCAGTTGCAGTAAAGAAAAATGGCGTTTATAGGAGGAGGGAATTATGAATAACCCTGTATAAGCGGAAATTATTCTATTATAAGAATTTAATTGCTTACTGCAAAACATAGATTTTTTCTGAAATTTAAATAAATAAAATTTTTAAGTAATCTTTTCTACAATATTTTAAATCTCCTAATTTGTTTGGAAATCCTATTTGTTCCTAAAAGAAGCGGTAATAAATTTAAAGTTGTAAATCGTCGATACAATTTAAACGAATAAATACCACTTGCATATGCCTAGGGCAAATGCCTTTGCACCCCTGCTCACTACTGGAAATACCACTGATTTCGTTAAAATAGGCAGGTTCCATTCATGAACCTAGTTTCAATATTATCTAATTAATTTGAATGAAAAACAAATTATTTATTTACTATCTAACAAATTTTCTTAAAAGTACACTTTCATAAATTTTTTAAAAGTAGACTGAATAAAAAATTTAATATTACGGTTCACTCATTGATGAAGTGAACTTTTTTTTACAATATCATTATTTTTGCTAACAAAATTTAAATAAAATTATTCTTTTTTCACTCTTTCAAAAATAAATATTGTTGCCAGGGTTAAATATTCGTAATTAAATTAAAGGACGTCTTGTTCAAGCAACATTTAAATCTGAAAATAACTAAATAAATCCGTGGAAAATTCCCAAAAGTTTGTCGAATGCTTGATAAGTTTTTTTTTTCTGTTGAAATTATTTTATTATTATTCTAATCTTATTTCATTCTTTGATCTTATTTTGCGTATTTTTATTTCATAATATTGCAATAAATTTTTAACGAATTTCTTCTCTATTTAATAATGTTAAATTTGTTTTTATTTTATTTTGACGTTCATCAAACTTAACTTATATACTAGATATTGCGTTAAACAGGAATAATTTTATTTTAGCGCACCACCCGCGAAAATAGTGTGTCACCCGTGATTCTAATGTAATGTTTATACTATACTCACCTTAGTACTCATAAAAAGAAAATGCATTTGTATGAAGTTGAATAAGGCTAGTAGTATGGGCTGTATCATATTTAATTCATCTATGCATCCATCAGGCGTAGTAAAAACAGAAGAAACCTCTAAACCACTAGATATCAAAGCGCCCAGTCCAAAAACTATAAATAAAAATAATAAAAAGTAAATACGAATTTTTTTTCTTATTTTTTTTCTTATGACATTTAGAATTCTTTTTTCTTATTTTTTATTATTATAATAGGACGTTTAACACACACACACATACACAATATATACAAGATATTAACAAATAAAAAATAATAAAATACAATAAGTTTACATTTAATTAGTATTAATAATTTTTTGTAATTTATTTATTAATTTACTAAATCTAAAAATTAATTAAAAATGAAACAGATTCTGTAAAACTTTTAAATAAGGTATTAGCAAAAGTTTCAAATAAGGATATTTAAATAATAATATTATTGCTTGTTTAAAAACTTGATCAGATTCAAAAATTAGCAAGTTGGAAATAGCTGACGACATGTTTCAAGCTAGTACCCAGCCATCTCAGTTTCTTTTTAAGTGAATGATAGTTATGTGAATTTCTTATACTTCAAAACTTTCTTAAATTTTTTATTAATCTATATACTGTATATTTAAAATATAGTTAAAGGGAAATACTTACCGACTGATCCTATTCTGAGAAATATACTGATGTCTGAATAGAACAAACTTCGAACAAATTGAGCAGAGAAAACTGACCTCCTTTTACCTTCAAAAGAGTTATTTGACATTCCAGGACATTTTTTAAGAGTCATATTCACATAAGCGATTATAAAGAATATTATAGCCCCTCCAACCAGAAATGTAAACAAGTATCCCTGTAAATTATACATATAAGGCATTAAAATATATTACGATAAATTTATTAATGCTATAAAGTTTTTACGGCATAAAGCTTAGATTCGTAAATATTCATTGATAATTTTATTTTGAAGTAAAATATATTGTTGGTTTACCGCGCAAAGCATATATTTATGCTGTAAAGCCATTAAAAAATTTAAAAACATGCCGTTTTATGTACAGCCATGCATACTTGATAATTTTAAGTATTTAAAAAAAATTAATATAAATAGCAGATCTTCCATTTTAATATCTAATAAATCGAATTCTTAGTAGTATTCAAGACTTTTGAAAAGTGCACGTGAAAATAGAACGATAATTTATTTAATAGTTTTTTTTTTACTATGTTCGAATTTAAATTGTAGTAAACAAAATATATCAGGGAGTTTATTATCTACAGGAAAGATGGGTCCTATTACCTGGAAATGCCTTTTGTCTTGAATGCCCATATTATAAAATGCCTGTCACGTGTAATATTTTTTTGTAAATTTTGTGCATTTAATTTCTAGGCTTAGGAAAATTTAAAATCCATCAAGATCATCTCTTTCTGTTGTGCATATAACTTTTCGAGTCTTTATTTCGAAACTATAGTAATTTTTACATTTACAACAAGTACAGTTTATAAAATTAATTAAATACATTGTATTCCGTAATCACGCATTTATATATTTATCTTGAAAATCCTTGTCAAAAAGAAAGTAAAAAACGTATATAACTTAGGGGTTGAAAAGTAATATTAAAGCTAAGAAGAAACAAAAACGCTGTCGACGGAGGTATCAGGAGGTATTGAAAGTGTCAAAATCAGTTTGATTGCCTTATGAAACTTGATGTTTTTAATAATTGTTTTTTCTACTCCTCTTAGGTTTCTGTGCCAATAAACGGATTTTGATGTTTTCAGTTTCGCCTTCCTCAGAAGTGATTCGTTAGGTTTCGACAACTTTTTTGCTTCTTTGTTTAAATATTAATATGAGTTAAATATTAATATATATATATATTAATATAATAAATATAATACACTGCTGGACAATTGCTAAGGACGGATCACAAATTGCAATGTAGCATAACATTAAGCGAGACATGAGGCCTAGTAGGATAAAATATAGTTGCCAGACTGTTCAGACATTAGAATAAAGAATATTCATTGTTCTGGAAAGTACAAAAGCTATGAAACATCTGAA